ACTGGTGAAACCATCTCATTTTCTTATTGTATAAATAAAGATTATCTCTCCTAATGCATTTTATGCTGATATACATATGACACAAAGTAGTTGCTTCACTTAGAAATCAATGACCCAGTACAGATTTCTGCCTCAGTATGTTATGAGCTGCACAAATTGTATCCTCGGCTTTAAGTACCAAGTATTGCCTTTTTTAGGGATTTTGATTGCTTACGGGATTGATCACCAGCTGACATCAGTTGAAGAAACATTGGAAAACTAGGGGGGTACTACTGAATGACTGTTTCGTCCTACTTTTCGGACCCTCCGACGAAATCTCAGCACGAATACAGACGGCTAGGTTCGCATATGCCAGTTTACGCCGTCTCTGGCGTAGACGCGATATCCGACTATCGACCAAAAGGCGTGTGTACTGCTTAACAGTCCGCTCCGTCCTCCCTTATGGCTGTGAGACATGGCCATTGAGAGCAGAAGGCATGAAAAGATTAGCTGTCTTTGATCATAGGTGTCTGCGTTCTATCTTCCGCGTGAAGTGGTATAATAAGGTGAGCAATATTGAGGTTAGGCGTCGAGTGCTAGGTAAGGTGGGGAAATCAATAGACGAGACTGTGAAATTACATCGACTGAGATGGTTAGGACATGTGCTACGTATGCCTAGTCATCGCCTTCCTCGACGGGCAATGTTAGCTGATATAGGGCCAGGCTGGAAAAGAGCTAGCGGCGGTCAAACCAAAACATGGCACCAGTCAATGAAATCCACAACAGTTAGTTTAAGTCACGTAAGAAGGTGTAGACTTCCTGACTGGTTGTGGTCCTCGGGACGGTAAAAACCAATGGTTGGAAAAAAATGGTGACATGGCTCAAAATCGTTCTCAATGGGTGGTGCAGATGCATCCACTCCTTGTGACTTATGATTTCCAATGAAACTGTTTTGTTCTCCGTTATTACTATTCCTTTGTCTCACACCTCTGTTTACTGTCTCTGTTATGCATTTCTTCTACTTTCTTCTCTTATTTTGTATGCTACAAGAAGGGAGTGTGGCGACTTGAACTGGTGCACATATGTGCAAAGTTCTATGTCGAAAACCGACCGACCGACCGACCCTTCAACAACAGTACCCACCATCCAGCCTTGTTCAAACCTAGGATCTTCCCGTTACAAGGTGAGCTATTCAATGGCCAACCCATGAATTCCAACTTCTGACAATTCGCTATATATATGTATAGCGCATTCATCAGCTTAAGTCCGACCGAAAGCTGCTACCTTGACGTGTTGGTCGGGCTTGAACACCGCAATGACCCAACAAGCTATACTGGCTGAGACTTATGTCGCTTGAGGTCCTACCATGCCAGAAAGGTTGTTTGGCTAGCGGTTAGACAAAAAGCAGTTACCCAATCCAGTGCTATGACTCAAAGTAAATCACAAAATATCATACCGGATCGGTCGGAGCCCAGATTAACAACGACCGCGCTTCCTGCTGCCGTGTCACAGGGCAGAATTGATAAATATGCTACTGAGACACATCAAATGAAAGCTAAAGTCGCCTGCGAGTAATTGTCCTGTTGGTTGACTTGTTGGATCCCTCTAGTTACACCACTTCTCATTAAAACTCCAAGTAACTTGTTGCATAGAATCAGTCGCTCATTAAGTATCAGATTAACTATCGAGTGTCGGTGCTGCAGGGATTTGATTAGTTACAGGACTGATCACGGTCTGATATCATTTAGAGAAACCGTTTTAGAAAACCGAGTGTTTGAGACCTGTAAATTACATTTTCATTTACATGCATACACATGTACGTATTCACAGTGTGTTGGTTTCGATATCAGCAACTTGGACAAAGATTCTTATACACCAGGTGAAAAGCCATATTTATCCAGTTGCCCAGACTGGGGCATGCGGAGTGAGGCTCGACTGAGAACCGAGTACTTAGGCCAATGAGCTGCATATTCTGAGTTACTCACCACCACCAGATTCAACCACCTATTATTTGTCCTCGAACCCGACCTGCTGCAGCCTACTCGCCGAAGACATTGGCTAGGGGTCGTGCTATGTCGTGAATTGGCAGAAGTTAGAATTCATGCACTGGCCTTGGATCGGGTCCCAGTGGCTTAATGGTACACGAGCTCGCCTTGTAACCGGAAGGTTCTGGGTTCGAATCCCGGTGGGTGCGTACTGATGAAGATTCCCAAACTAGGACAAAACAACTGTCCAGTAATTCCAGGTTTTCCAATGGTTCTCTAACGAATGTCAGCTCATGATGAAAATCCTGTATCCTGATATTATTATCTTTTTACTAATTACAACTCGGTACAATTGGTGGTCGTCATAAAATGTGCCATTCAACTCTGAGGAACAACTTGATGTGAACAGATAAGGCATACTTGTCAAGTGCGAATTTATTACCATTGTCTGTCTGTCTATCTGTTTTCGACATAGAACTTTGCCCCGGTGTGCGGCAGTTCAAGTTGCTACACTCCATGTAGCACACAAAGCAAGAGAAGAAATGCATAATATAGACAGTAAACAGAGGTGTGAGGCAAGGGAATTGTAATAACGAAGAACAATATAGTTTCATTGGAAATCATAAGTCACAAAGAGTGTATGCATCTGCTCCAGCCATTGTCAACGACGATTGTGAGCCATATCACTGATTGATTCCAGCCATTGGTTATTACCATCCCGAGGACCCCAACCAGGAAGTTTACATCTTCCTACGTGGCTGGTTCAAACTAACTGTTGTTGATTTCATTGACTGATGCCATGTTTTGGTTTGACCGCCGCTAGCTCTTTTCCAGCCTGAACCTATGTCAGCTAACATTGCTCATTGTCGGGGAAGGCGGTGGCTAGGTGTACGTAACACATGTCCTAACCATCTCAGTCGATGTAATTTCACAGCCTCGTCTATTGATTTCCCCTCTCTCCTTACCTAGCACTCAACTGATGCCTAACCTCAATATTGCTCACCCTTTTATACCGCTTCACACGGGACCTACCTGATAACGTCTAGAGCCATTGAGATGCACAATCTCTCTTTCTCTCTCTCTCTCTGAGAACTGCTGCAATTGATATGCGCTAATCCACTTCAACTCTATCCTTCAAGCGTCTCAGTATGACATCATCGGTTGCTTACTACTAAGTCATTTCAGAATGGACTTTACGATGATCTTCATGGTACATTCCGAAACCACATAAGCCTGTATGTCAATTATAAGGTTAATTATTTGGCTACTGTTGGTGACATCATGACAGCCGCCACTCCCTTTGAGTGCTACTTGTGGTTGTCGTCTGGGTGACCCGATTAGATTATTAACTCTTTCGTTAACAGTTTGGAGAGCTCATATTCCCTTCCACCTACTCTCACAGATTCCTAGACCTTCTACTCCTCATATCTTTGACAACCTGGGTAGCCTTCGAACATTCCACGTCACCATGCTTATTTCTGCATTTATCAACTGGCGGGGTTTCAACAGCCCGCATCATTCACCCTCTCCGAAGTTTCTGTAGAGATTGAATTGATTTTTTGCGGGGTAGGATCGCAAGCCCTTCGCACCTCAACCTCTTTCCTCTTTTTTCCGAACTTAGGGCCGGCTATTAAGGTAATTGTAAAACTTGGGCACTGTGGTAGAATGTAATTCCATTTTTGTGATAAGTTTATTTCAAATATCATACTGTGATGCAGTTATTAATAACTGGGTGACGTTTAGAGCATATATTATTGCTCATATATTCATATTAGTTTAGTCACATGGCATCACAGTTTGACTAAAATATATTTTTTTCTCTCTCTCCCTCCCTCCAACTTCCCCTCTTGGTTTGTTGCCATTTTCCATGCCTCCCGTATGGGTGTTGTGTCATTTCGATTGCACGTGCGTGGTGTTGAATCGATAAACAAAGCTTCAGTGATTAACCTCTCTCTGTCTCCACCTATGTTACTTTTTAATACTTGCACCATATCCCACCACATTGTGTGTTTGCATGCAATTGAATACAATGCAATGGCCGAGCTTTTTTCTAGGTGATTTAACTTAGTGGGTTCAAGTATTAATGCTCTTATAATCTAGTTGACCCTAATCTACTAGTTTGACCTATATAATTGATCTCACTAACAGTCATTACATGGTATATTGTAAAATTATATTATTTTTCTTAGTTGGATCTGTTTAGAGGATTTCGTCATGAGCTGGTATTGGTAAGATAGCCACTGGAAAACCTGGGAGTACTGGACAGCTATTTCGTCCTGGTTTCGGGCTCTTCATCAGTGCACACCCGCCACAGGGGAGTTCGAACCCAGGACCACCTTCTGATTACAAGGCTAGCGAGCTCGTAGATCATTAAGCCACTGGGACCTGATCCGATGGCCAAAGCATGAATTCTAACTTCTGCCAATTCACGACATAGCGCGAATACTTAGGAATGTCTTCGATGTGTAACTCTCCTCTACCTTCGACCTGCTGTACCGTACTGGTCACGGCTTCCCAATAGAACCTCAGGTAGCTGCCTGCATAGGGTCAGTCGCTAGGGAGCTCGCTGAAACCAATCAAATCCCTACAAAGCAATACTTAAAATGTCAATTGGATCTATCGAGTGGGTCCTTAAGCCGACAAAAATTATCTCTGAGTGAGAGTTGGTTGGTTGACGTAGCTTCCAAACCTCATCCATTGACTTTCCCTCATTACGTAACACCATATGCCGAACCTGTATATCACTCACTCTGTTATACTACCTAGCACATGAGATAGACCTCTCTGGTCAAAACAAGTTGGTATTCTGCTGATAAACATTTTCAGTGAACCGGTGCCCAGTGCACACACACACACATCCTCTGGATATCACGTCTATGCCACACAGGTTTGAAGTAAGTTGGCAAATCTCATTCACAAACATTTTGTTTTATTTGCATGCATTCTTGTGAACTTCTTAAGTTTGTTTTTTCTACATTTTACGTTTATTTTTTCTTCATTTCATTCGCTCCCTTTCCCCCACCTCCCCCCGTGTAGGTAATGAGATTTACTGAAGAAAATGTAGCGCTTTTTATTGGTGTTGTCGGTATTATGTCGTGTATAGCTCAGGTGAGTCGCAATATTTATGTATATATATGTTATCTTTCAAATCTTGCCTTTTTCGCCGCCATATTTATCTTGTATTTTTATGTTTTTTAACAGTTAATTTAATCAATTAAAAGAAACTGTATTTCTTTCCATCAGGTGCTACGTTTAAAGAATTTTTTGTCGGTGCCGGCCGACGCACTCCTTTACCTCGCTAAGCCAGAAATAAAGCTGGTGAAGAGGAAAGGTTGGGCATGAGGCTAGCGACCCCATCCTGTAAAAATAAATACTGCTACAGAAACTTCAAGACTCTAGCTTGAAGCCCCTATGTTCCACTGGGAACGTGAAGGAATAAAAAAAAACATCTGAATTATAGCTAACTACACAACTTTGAAACTTTCGTTTTATAGTTTCCTTTATTCCTTCCTATTCCCTGTAGGTGTAGTAGAATTTTCGAAATGTCTGGGTGGACAGGTGTTTAATCATTCCTTTTACACGTGTTTGCAGTTGATTCGATAAATAAAGCTTCTGTTATCCCTCCCTCCCTCCACCCTGTTACATTAGATTTCAGAACTGTCATCTTATCCCATCCTACTGTATAGCTATCCTTCTTTGTGTGTAATTGCACATAGTGCTTGCTATAGCTGAACTATTCTCCAGATTTCTTATTTCAGTGTTAGGATTAACTAATCTATATTTTGCTAGGTTTTTGTGCTCCGTTAGTCGGACTAACTGACCCCCATTCTACCACTTTGACCTGAAAATCGTCCCAGCAGGATATTAGATGAATTAAATTGTTTTGTTTGTGTAATTGGCTCCACAGCAGGATCCTTTAACTTGACAAAGTTTGTTTCTAATTGAGTTTGTGGGGTTAAAAGTATTGTTATGAATTTCACGTAAGGTTCCCAACGTCCCTTCTTTGCATGGAAGTACTACTGATGATGATTTCAATTCCTTATTGCTGGTGTTGACATTATCCTTTGCATATTTGATATGCATGTCGTTATTATATTATTATGGTTATCACTATCACTACTATCATAATTTATTTTATTTTTACATTTCCCCCTACATACCTTCTGACTAATTTATCAGGGTAATTATTAAGTTTCAAAGCTTCTCTTGTATGCCTCATCTCCTGTCTTCGATTTTCCTTGGCACTACTTAGTTTTTGTGCTCTATTACTTAAACATTTCACCAATCCTATTTTCACTGACATAGGGTGGGATGATCGGAAGTCCAAATATCTGTTTGAATGTGTGGGTTTCCTGTAAACACACTAGTGTGTTTAACTTTCCATCTTCTTTCCTTTTTACGTTATAATCTAAAATTGGAAGTTCCCCTTTTTCACTTTCCAATTCATAAGTGAATTGAATTGCCTCCACCTTTGAGTTAATGTGTTCGAAAAATCTATCTGTATCCTGTGTTTTAAGTACAGTGAATGTGTCATCTGCATACCTCCTCCTTACTTGTGGGGTGGGGCTGAGACGTTTCTATCGCTAGTGAAACTTGCTGCTTTTTTTCTGTATAGTTGAAATTCATCGTCAGATAGGTTAGTCTGTAGATGGATTATTGTCAAAGCAGATATTTAGAGGACGGTGAAGTTAAACTGTCATCGCCAAACTCCTCCTAGCGACTGTGTACTCCAACTAATCAGAATTTAGATGTAAAAATTTTCTTGATCGTTTATAAAAAGTATTTTTTTTAAAGCATTATATATGACACAGGTTAATTGTCTCTTATGTGTTGTAAGAATGTCTCCCAATTACTCCGAAGATATAATTCGTAAAGAAATGTATTCATCTAGTTGACTGCAGATCATTATACTTTGAAATCTATTGATATTCCTATGACTGGTATTCTTTAAACCATTCCAACCTTCACCCTAACTAACCTTACATAAAAGTGTACATTTACTCTATCTTCACAGAAATTATTCACCAAAATCCATAAACGTAGGCATGATTTGATATGGAATGACTTTTTGTTTGGTAGCGTTGACTTAAATCTGATTGATTTTTAAAGGTCAACTTCTTTTAGCAGACCTTGATTTTTGCCTCTGATTGGTTTAACGCTCAATCGTTTAGGATGATTGACTCGGTTAACTTAAGCATTCTGGAAAATTACATCAGCCAGCGCCAAGGGGCTGATCGCTGACGAAATCTCAGCAAGGCTACTGAAGCCTTTTTTGGCATTTACTAGCCGAATTACTCCATCTCTGGCGTAGATGTGGTATCGGCTGGTTATTTTTATTTTTTTATTTCGATTACAGCTTAATGCCACACCGTATTTTCAGTACAAGTATGGAATTTTCAGCATGGATATCGGTAGCCCAAAATTGCAGGCCGACCATAGATATCGGGTGTGCCTTGGCAGGGGATCGAACCCCGGACCATGTGCATGGTCGGCGAGAGTCCTAACCACTGTGCCACCGACGCACATCGACCAAACGACTTTTGTACAACTGAGCAGTTCTCTTCGTCCTCCTCTTTGGCTGTCAATGAGACATGGTCATTGCAAGTAGAAGGCATGAAAAGGCCGACTAGCTGTCTGTGTTAAGTGACATAATATAGTGACTAATATTAAGGTAAGGAGAAGAAATCAATCAACACGGTTATGAAGTTGTATCGATTAAGATGGTTAGGACATGTGTTACACATGCATGACCAGCTATCGATCGCCTTCCTCGACGGGAAATGTTAGCTGACTGACATAGGATGGATCAGGTTGAAAAAGAGCTAGCACATTGTGGTCAAAGAAGAACATGTTTTCATCAGTCAATTAAATCAACAACAGTTAGTTTAAGCCAGCCAGTCACATAAGGAGGCAGGTGTAGACTGCCAGTCTGGTTGTGGTCCTCGGGATGGTAAGGACCAATGCTGGCTGGAGACAATTGGTGATATGGCTGGCTCAAAATCATTCTCATCGTGATTTGTCATATTCAATGAAACTCTATTGTTCTCCCATATTACTATTGTTTATGCCATTGTGTGATACATGCAGGGTGTGGCAACTCAAACTACTGTACATCTGTGCAAAGTTCTATGTTGAAACCAGTCAGTCATTTATTCAAATTATGCATACCTTATATTAAAGTCGTCATATACACAACAGCAAGACAAGCTTTCACTACCCTCAAGTCTGTGTGGAGGTCAACAGCACTCAGCTTCAAAATGAAAATAAGATCCGGATTTTCAACTCCAATGTGAAGTCGGTTAGTGCTACTATACGGATCAAAGACTTGGCCAGCGCGTCATAAAGAGCATCTCAAACAAACTAAAGACCTTCATTAACAGTTGTCTTCGCTCAATACTCAAGATCAGATGGCCGGCCAGAAAAGATCAGCAACAGAGATCTCTGGGAGCAAACCGACACAGCAGGAACCGATTGTGAAACAAATAAGCAGGAAGAAATGGAGGTGGATTGGAGGCCGTACTCTGAGTCACCCATCAAGTGACATCACTGGACAAGCCATTGCTCGAGTGGAACCCGGTCGAAAGGGAAGCGGCGAGTTGGTCGTCAGTGCAAGGGTGACTTGGAGGAGGTCATGTGAAGAGGAGATGAAAGCATGTGGGCAGACTTGGAGCCAGGTGAAGACTCTAGCAGAGAACAGAACGCAATGGAGACGCACGGCTGAAGCCCTATGCTCCTGTAGGAATTAAAGGAAATAATTATAATAATACACAACAGATCTTCCGTGTTGTACTGCTTTGCACACTGTTGTGTATTGTAATATCCTTTTTGAGCGAAATATCCTTTTTCTTTTTTTCGTGTCTCCAATGTTTTACTGGTTCCTTCCCCCCTCTCTCTCCCTCTGTTTGACGTCAAATCTATCTCTGTGCTATATTTGATATTTTTTTATTGTTATGCTGATGAATGTCTCTGCAGTATACTACTGATAAATCACGGCAGTAACACATACCACAATATATGTGAATATCTCATGGAAAATTCCCATTGTAACATGGAGAAAATCAAAACAAGTGGTGATTCAGCGAAGAGACTTTTTTCAACAACGAATTCATTATCGAGCTGTGCAATCGTGTATGCATATGGTTTACTCTAAGAAGATATATCCAGTGAGGGAATTGAATTATAGGTGTGAATAAATGAAATAATAATAGTAGTATGAAATGCAATTACAACTAAAATGTTTGTGATTATAATCATAGTTAAATGTCAAGTGGCAAAACAAATTAATGTCATATATATAGAATAATTAATAGGATGGATAGAACTTGAAAAAGGTGTGCAATTATAGGATTAGTTGAGTAGACAAATCGAATCAAATAAAAACGTTATGTAACAAACATTGAGTGAAATTTGATAGCATAGAATTTAACGTTGTAAAAAAGGAGAATTGATTTAGAATGACAAGTGGAACAAGTGAAATAATACCGGGGACAGTTAAAAGTGAGAACAGTAATAATAGTAACAATTGATGTAATAAAGGAAGAGTGTACAAAGTGAATAAACAAAATGAAAAATTGGTAGAGCCAAAATATATGATTGGGGATTACCATACTTTAGCATAGAGGAGGGATTGAGACCATGGAAGTTGGGGAGGGGTTGAACGAAATTTTTCTGTACACAGATATCTGGCTTTTCTGTTTCGATAGCCAAAGCAGATGAGTCGGGTACGTAGAAATTTGGGTAAATTACTCTTTGCCTTTTAGATGACTTTAAAGGCACGGAGGCTATAGAGAGATAGGGTGACCATTATCGACCAGATGTTCAATGATCGCGCTTCTTATCGCCCCATTTCCACCTCTTCTTCGTAACCAGGCAAAGGGATAGTGTTCTTTGCACCCTCCTAGCTCCACACGAGCAGGTGAATTGATAAATGCACACATAGAGTTGGTCAACAGCGGAATCTTGTCCTTCAGGAAGTTATTGAACAGTAATGGTCGACTAGTAAAGGTTATTCTCAGAGATGCAGAAAGCAAGGAATGTTCTTTTGTTTAGGGACTGTGATATCCTTCGTTTCATGATATCGGAAGCTAAGTTCCCTTTGAATTCCAAGC